TTCTCATGGAAATTATCATTATCGAGATATCCCAATAACTGTTCGCCAGAATAAAAATGGGTTTTATTTGATGAAGTTAGAAGAACCTCTGCTTCCCAAGTGTACATTGTTCAGGGAGATGAAGTCATCCTTACCAATGACAGTCTTGTTTTGAAATCCTTAACAACGAAAGATTTCGTAAATGACCCTTCTACGTCATCCATCAACACCATCATTTGTTAGCAAACTCAGGTCCCCATTTATTATTCGAATACAGATAGCGAAATGATTAGTTATATATACGACCCAGAGGATAAACAACACATCATATCATATGCAGGACCACTTTATGATCTGATAAGTAAGATCAGTGAAAAGTAAGAGGCAGCCGGGTCGACAAATGATGGTGGCCGCATTAGCTATATACTGTAGCTGAGGTCAGCGCCGGATTCCGACGGATAATGGTTTCTACTCATCAGCAATTTACTGTACAATAATTTATTGTACTTACGAATATTATGAAGCTAAAACGGCATTGCAGACTTACCTCTTTCGTAAGGATTTACAGAGGAAAGGAATCATGAAGGTCAGATACTATGCGCTGATTAAGATCCTAACACTGACCTATACCAATGGAAAAGAACCAGTTCAGTGCTGTTTCTCGCGCGGTATCACATCATTTCAGAAATCTTCACGAGCATAAAAGTAGGTGAGACTTCTACCCGCTTGTCCCTCTTCTGCCGATTGGGAGCTCCCTAGAACAAAGCATCAAAATCGCACGGGGTAAAAAACGAGTGAAGATAAACAAACGATAGCGAAGAGCTCTGAAAGCAAACAAGTAAATTAGATAGAATTTGCAACCGAAATGGCAGAAAAGCAAAATACGATTAGCGCCTGTACTTTCGGAAAGTTGGCATACTGTAGGCGGGTCCCGGCACGATTATCAAGTCGTGAACTTGGCGTACTCGAGCTCTAGTCTCGTGCCATTTTTCTGCGTCTCTCACCATTGCCCACTATCTGAAGAGGAAAGTCGAGCTCGTGTACGAGCTCGTGAGATATGTCGTGTCTAAGGTCACGAGCTTTAGCTCGAGCTTAGTTCACGAGCTGTTCTTGACGTGTTCGACGAGTGTGTTGAAGGATAGCCGGCAAGTCGATCAATGCATTGAGGAATGAAACTAAGCTCGAGCTTATCTCGCGACCTCGTACGTTACGAGGTAGAGGGATTACTACAGGCCCTGGTGACCGTCTGGAGACGGAATAATTTTGGAAAAGGTAATACTTCACATAAATTTTGGAATCTTTTTGCATAATTCTTTGCAAGTAATTTTCTATGTATACAATTCAATTTTGGTGTCATATGCTTCTGTGTGCGCTGTAAACAAGCAATTTATTTATTTAAGCCTTGCTTTCAAATCGCGCGCACTTTTCGCCATATACTATAGAGCATGTCAATCGTGTGATAACTTGTCCGAAAAGCTTGTGTCGACTAAATGGCGCTTATTCTTGGTGCTCTGCCCCGACTTTGCAAAAACGATATCTTCTTTGCTTTCTGCTCCAAAACGATGTCCAGCCTGCTTCCAAACGATCTGTGCCTGGCCCTGGTCGTGGTATTATTGTGGAAAAAAGCTGCCGTTCGAAATTTTTTTTAAAAATGTGAAAACTTGTGTGATAGGGATTTCATGGAGCTGAGTTCAATACTGAGCTATGTACAAGATTGCGAAGCATTCTAAAATCTCACTTTTTAGAAACCTTGAAAAAACAGCCGCTATTGTTTACCTCGCATTACTTTTCAATAAAGCATTGTGATACGTTTCGAACTTCACATTTAGAATGAGCAACTTTGGTTAGCCCAGTGTGAGAGACTTCAGTTTTCCGCGTACTTTCTTCTTCAAACCTGGGCATGATGTATAGAGTATTGTACAGTGTTGTTCTGCCAACCAGCAAAGCCATCTGTTACTTGAACGAAATTAGGAGCCAGTACTTAAGCGCATGCCATTAATGTACTGCCGATACATCGATGACTGCTGTATCATCACCTCGTTACAATCCGAGATGGGTGAATGTTTTCGAATTTTAAATGAGCAGTCGCAGTACATTAAGCTTACACGCGAGAACCCGCACAGTTGGCTTTCCTTCTTGAACACCCAGATAATTTTGTCTGCCGGTGCTATTCGAATCAAACGGTACCGAAAGGAAAGCTCTAAAAATATACTTGTCCACGCTACATCTGCGCATCCTACAGCTTTGAAACGTTCCATCATTCACAGTATAAGACCGCTGTAGAAGTGTGCACGGGCGAAACAGAAAGACTGGAGTCGCGACGGAATCCAAAATTGCTTGTAGCAATGGCTACACTGCTGCGCAGTCTCGTCAACGAACACCCAGACAATTCGCAAGTCGCAATCCTATGCGAAGGCTTCCACGCTGGGTCTTGACTCCGGGAGCAAAGGCAATTTCTGTTGCGTAAATTCTGTCGAAGTCGAGTTTTCACCGTTTTTCATGACACTCCGAAAACTGATCAGCCACATTGTCTGCCGGAGTTTGACCAGCGAGACCACTGCTTCCATGCTGGGTCTTCATTCCTGGAGCAGAGGCATTTTCTGTGGCGAAAATTCTGTCGAAATCGAGGTTTTCAACGTTTTTCATGAAAACCGTGGGGCGGGGAAAACCAAACTTTTCACTGCAAAAACTGATCACTCACATGGAGAGTTCACGAAAAATGCATTTTTTGCTGTTAAGTTGCTCTTCGAATCGGGATTTTCCAAACTATTATGCAAAATGGCAAGGGGGCAAGGAAATCTATAGAATGAAAGTGGAATGTAGCTAAGGACATGAAAAAAGAGGAACTGTGGTGGAATGTAACTAAGGATATGAGAAGAAGAGGAATTGTGTATGTAAGCAGTAGAGATGCTCCGGCTGTGAAAGCCGTGAAAATCGGACATACGGTATTTCATCACAATTCGTCATCGCAGGCAAAGAAACGTGTCATCATTGCATGTCGTGTAGGGTGCGATCAATTGGTAAATGTCGAGACAACTCTCTCCTCTCGAGCTTGTCTGCGGATAAAAGTACACCGTTTTTCTAAATATTTCATCGTCCAAAACCTCTGCGAGAGAGTGTGTGATTCGCGCACTCACACTGTCCCCCCCCCCTCTCCGCAACGCTGAAGGGGCGTCAGGGTGGAAGAACGATGTACGGTTTTCGTCTTTCGCCGGATGTTTCCAGTCTATATGTAACAAAGATATAAATCAAGATAGTTGCAATAATGTATATGTGTATGTGTTGCTTATACGTGGAGCTTATTATCGTAAGTTTTTTATATAAATCATTGATGGTCTTCCTTTTGTGTTGTGCATAAGCATTATTGCAACTATCTTGATTTACTCATCTAAACAGGTTGTCTCAAAAAATGTGAACACTGTTTGTTCGTTAATAACTCTCTTGCTTTCATGTCTTTTTTCGTGCTTCTGGTATCATTCTGAAGAGCTAGGTTCGATTCAGATTTACAGTATAAACCGAATCGCCAAATCTTTATTACCGTAGGATTACGATATGAACTTTCAGCATAAAAGAGCTACTAAGGGACAGACCTTTTGAGGGGAAAATTCCAAAAAAATCTGGAAATTTGTGTAGTAAGGTTTTCAGGCGTGCTGATTTCGGTACAAAACTTTTCACCAGTATTCGAGCTTTTTCAATGGTTTAACTTCTGATGAGCATTAGAAAAACACATTTTACCCTTTATCTGAAATAACTTTGAAAGAAGCAATGCAGTGGAGTTCAAACGTCATATTTAGTGTCAACGAGTTCGACTAGTGTAGTACAAGAGTTTTTGGCTTGTTTGGCTTTTTTCTAGAGCAAAAATCGCTTTCGCTTTCCTAAAATCCTTCACAAAGTTCCTACCATATTCCTACAGTAACAAAGAGTGGATGACGATTCGATCCATACTGCAAATCTAAGCTGAATCTCGCTTTAAAAATGATACCTCAAGCTCGCGAAAGACTTGAAAGGCTTGGTTATTAACGATTGAACAGTGTTCACATTTTTGGGATACCCTGTATATCTATAAGGATGAATTATTATTTGTAATATTAGGTTGTCCCGAAAGTTTTGTCCATTCATCAAGGCCCGTATGCACGTACATCCCCGCTGGGGAGGGGAGGGGACCTGAGAGGGGATGCGTCATATCTCGCTACTCTACGTATCTTTCTTCTTCCTTCTTTATCTTGTTTATAAAGTTTTTCTTACACTTGTACTTGCGCACAATGAATGCCAGGTTACTGCCTATACAACATGCGGCTTTTTGCCATTTTGTGTGATCCCCAAGGGATCACACAAAATGGCAAAAACCCCAGGAGATTCCCCTGGGGATCACCTCTCATTTTTAAGGTAAATTATTTTCCTGAGAAGTCGGTGAAAACGCTGTATAATTATACTGAGGATATACTACGGCACTGCTAAGCATGTTTTTGACAGGATGATTAAAATCTGAAGGTTGTGAATTTTTCGATGATCCCTAGTTTGCGAGGGGATGTGTGTGCATACGGGCCTAAAACTCAAAGAACACCAATCCATGGACGACTTAGATACCAGATTCAAATTTTTATACTATTTCTTACAGCTATATCTGCTATCTGATCCACTCTGTCTTTGCATTGTTATCGCCCAGACTTTATGAGCAGCTCAGCAGAAACGCCAATTTTTTTCTTGGATTTCAAATTTTCATCCTGAAGTTTTTGAAGAGTTCTGGTAACTGTTATACATATAGAGCAAACCTTTGGCTATTGTATCCATTTTAGATTTCATGAGTCACGTCTACCAAGTCCTTTATAATTATTTATTTATTCAATGAAAACCGCGGCTTTTTGATTACATTTACCACGTAAAAGTAACAAAATTCTCAAAAGCTACTTTTTCAAAGCAATTCAAACTTGGTAATGTTGCATAAATAATGTTCGATAAGAATCGTGCTCCAGTTCGCAGGAACTTCAAAAACTTTTATGTACTTGCTGCAATTGCGTGTTTCATGACTTTGCCAATATGAAGACCTCTGAAAAATAATTTCTTAAAGCCAAAAACAGCAGATTAGGAGAATTTAATATTACTTTGGAGTCCAAGTATTGCTCTATTTAATCCATACTCAACCTTTTCCAAAAGTTTGGAACGAATTTTTCAAAAATTAGCCTAACTTTGAGCAGATAAAATCGACGAGTGGAGAATTTTTGCAAACATCAAAAAAAAAACATACAAGACTGTGGTTCGAAAATGTATCCTTGAGAAAGTGAAGGAAAGTTGCATGCAATGCATGCTAAAAGTCTTTCAATTGTTTATTGCTTGTGGTTTTATAGTGGTTTGGAAAATCGGACAAAACTTTCGAGACAGTTTTCCTGATAGTTTGAATAGAATGCTTATATTTACACCATGAAAGTGCAACTGCTGATAGCGGGCTGAAGTTGTAAGCGACTTCAATGGGAAGATCGGGATGCCATTAGAAAAGGATTATAAGACTAAGAAGTTTGGATATGGACGCCGGAATGAAAACGGCAACCGTCTCGTTGGGCTTCTCCCCGGCGCATGGCTATTCCATGAAAATTCTTCATGAAGAAGGAACATTGCCGGTGGACATAGGAGTCGCCTAACAGAACGACCAAGCGGAGATCGACCACGTTCGCACCAACCGAAGGTGCAGTTTGCTTGATGTCTCAGTAGTTCTATCCTTCTGTAGTGGCTCCGATCGCCGCCTTCTTCAAGCGAAGATACGATTCAGTCGAAGGCTGGAGTAGAAAATCTGTCACACTTTTACGAGAAGGAGAAAGTCGGACGACGGCATGCCGTATGAGCTCATATCAAGTTATGACTGGCCCGTCGAGGAGGACCCAACGTACGACTACGACTGGCTTCTGAAAGGATTTCGAGCCTGCGGAGAATGTGCCTCAGTGACTTCTGAGAAGAACTTGGAACTTATTTTGAAGACCACCAAGGAATCGCTCGAAAGAAGAAGATTTCTGAGGCAGGATCCGAATGCAACGCATCTCGAATGGCTAATAGCCAACGCCAGTTGCAGAACAGCTTTGCAGGAGGATCTCAGGAAGTACAGGCAGGCCAAGATACTGGAAGCAACCGAAGGGAGACGAAGTCTTAAAGGCACTCAGATAATCGCCGGGGGCAAGCGGCCATGCGATTTTTGGGCAAGCGGGCACCGGAAAGATAGTTCGCTGATTTCTTGCGCTCCGCCTGCAGAAATTTGGAAGAATATTGTTCTTTTTGACAAATGCTCGGAGAAGTGTCGCGGTTTTCTTATGGATTAGTTGCGGCGCATTGGTTCAAAATTATTGAGGGCCGCGCGGTCCTTTGTGGAGGACCGCACAGCCCTCACGTACTTTCCGCTGAGAGAAAGTACCCCAAACTTGGGTAATAAAACCATCGATGACACCTCTGCCAGGTACTCAGATAATCGCCGGGGGCAAGCGGCGATGCGATTTATGGGCAGGCGGGCACCGGAAAAATAGTTCGTTGATTTTTTGCGGCCCGCTTGCAGAAATCTGGAAGAAAGTTGGCGAAATTAAAGACGAAAGCTTGAAGAACAATCGCGGTTTCTTTATGGATTAGCTGCGGCGCAGTGGCCGCATTCTCGCGGACTTTCCGCGAGAATATGCAAAAATTTCGAGGGCCGCACGGTCCTTTGTGGAGGACCGTTCAACCCTCAGGTACTTTCCGCTGAGAGAAAGTACCTCAAACTTGAGTAACTAAACCAACGGTGACACCTCTGCCACACAGAGTCTTACCTGCGCTCGACGTACGCCCGAAAATGCCTAAAAAGAGTCCGAGCGCTTGCTGAAAATTTGGCCAGCGCTCGCTGAAAGAAATTATTTGCGGAGCGCTTGCAGGAAATTTTGTATTGCTGCCCGCTGGCAGAAGACGAAAGTACCGCCCGCTGAAGGTTTGGCCACGCCCCAAAATTCTGCTGACCGCCTGCAGAAAAGCGCGAGTTTGCGGACCGCCTGCCCCCGGCGATTATCTGAGTAGAGTCTTACCTTAGCTCGGCGTACGCACGAAAGTGCATAAAAGGAGTCCGAGCGCTTGCTGAAAGTTTAGTCAGCGCTCACTGAAAGAAATTATTTGACGAGCGCTTGCAGAAAATTCTGTATTGCTGCCCGCTGGCAGAAAAGGGAAGTACCGCTTGCTGAAGGTTTGGCCGCACTCCAAAATTTTGCTGACCGCTTGCAGAAAAGCGCGAGTTTGCGGACCGCCTGCCCCCGGCGATTATCTGAGCAGTGGATCGGCATTGTTTAAAAACTCGAGATTTTAACGCGGTAGGTTCCTTATCGCCCAACTATGAAAACAGTGCAATCCCGGTTGCACACATGCCTTCCCTGCCGAGAAAATCGCTCTCGAACTTACACGTGCAGGCCAATCTTACACGGATCTGGATGAGTTGGCAATTTCTTTCTCACCATTGGAGGCTGCCCGCCGCAACGTTATAACCGTTGAGTCCTGCCACGATTTAGCGTCATCGGCCTTGCTCCACTCGTCCAATACAAAGGGAAGGACATCAAAAAACGCTCGTTTTTGGCGTTTTCAAGCTTTCAAAAGTGGATTTTCGGGATCAGCGTATTGAAACATCAGGTAAACGCAAAGATTAGGCTGAGATTTGCCGAGCCACTGCCTTTAAGAAATGCCGAAGGGACCTCTGTGAATATCACGTACCGCTGGCTGCACTATTAAACGAAGACGAGACTACGACTTCTTTGCGATACAAGATGGAATCTATCGCGAAGAACTTCTATACCAACCTCTTCCGCTCATCAACACTCGTGCCGATGCCCGTTGTTCCCACTGGAGAAGTACTACCAGAAGTACCACTGGAGAAGAAACCAACGCCATCGTGTCAGCGCTAGTCGATCAAAGAGTGGACCCAGCTTACGTGAGGACGGTAGCCGACCATACACGCACCTGACCTCCCAATTAGAAAGGATTTCGAAAAGGCGACACTGTTTCGCCGAAGCTGTTCACAGCGGCCTTGCAATAAGTGATGAAGTTACTGGACTGGAATAGAGGCATACCAGTTGATAGGAAATTCTTGTCGATCCTTTGTTTTGCAAACGACAACGTTCTCTTCTCGAGTGGTATCATTGAAGCAGAGATGATGCTGAAGGAAACGAGGGGAAGCAGATGAAACTGCGAACAAATTGGAAGAAGACTCAGATCATAAGGACTGCCCTTGACGAAAATGCAAAAATGAAACTGGTAGGCACCCCTATCATAAACACATCTTACTTGTATATCGAACGTTCGATGAACATGAAAAACGACTTGAGGGAAGAACTTAACAGGAGAAGAACAGCAGCGTGGGACCCTGAAGAGAGCCATCGAACAACTGAATGACAGGGACTTCGTACCCATCTGTTCGACTCAATCGTTCTCAAGGCGCTCTGCTACGCAGCTAGAACCTAGGCCGACACTGTAGGCAGTCATGTGCTGTACGGACCACCCACAGAGCTCTTGAGCGCAGTCTTCTGAAGATGACTCAACACAAACAATGGGTCAATCACAACATGAGAATAACAGACGACAGATGGACGCTTAAAACGTCAGAAGGAATTCCTCGCGAAGCAAAAGGTCCCCGAGGAAGAACTCCAATGAGTTGGGCAGACGTGTGTTCGTGGGACCGATGGAGCACCTAAAAAATCAGCTGGATACGATTTTCGCATCTGAAAGTCATGGATGCAACCACCGACGTCAGGGCCCGGCACAGATCGTTTGGAAGCAGGCTGGACATCGTTTTGAAGCAAACAGCAAAGGGAATGTCGTTTTTGACAAATCGAGGCCAAGCATCAAGAATAAGCCAAGAATAAGCGCCATTTAGTCGAACACAAACTTTTCGGACAGGTTATCACAGGATTGACATGCTCTATTGTGCACGGCGAAAAGTGCGCGCGATTTGAAAGAAAGGCTTAAATAAATAATTGCTTGCTTACAGCGCAAACGTAAACATTCTTTAAAAGCACCCTCAGTATCTTGTTAGCCATGCACTCCCAATTTGGATTTCAAAGCACATTATGCATTAAAACCCCGAGCCCTCACACATTTAACCGCTCATAACTTTTTACAGAGAACGGCATCGCAGATACCAAACGTAGTTCTGGAGTCAGCTCATCAGGACGCATTTAATGGTTTGCGGCTCATTCCAGTTTGCTACCCAAAGTTGGAATCGTTTTCTTGGTAATTAAGTAAAGAAGTGCGGCTCATTCCAGTTTGTCACCTCAAGTTGAGATCGTTCCCTTGTAGGTAAGTTAAGTAATGTAATGTATTGTGGGCACCTTTAAATACGCGTACACACCACTAGAACAAACAAAAGTAAATCATACGGACAGTTTCTTATTTCTTTTCTTCACATCTGTCGATATTTTGAAAAAATTCCATTAACCGAAACAAAAAAAAAAAACGACATGTTCATTCTCTACCTTGCGCCGAGTGAGCGGTTGTTTTCAGGTTAGTTCTCAGTTTTTTCTTCTTATTCAGTCAAATTCTAGTCCCTTGGTCTTCCATCTCTCTTTTCCTTCTTATCTGTCGTACTTTTCGCCAAAGTGCTTATTCGTTCTAGGTGTCAACTAGAGTTTCGAGCCCTGAGACCTGATTTCACTTTTCCGACTAATTGGGATACCAATCGATATCTTTGCCTCTATCGTACATATCGCCTTGTTGCACTATTTCCATCGACATGCCTCCTAAAACTGCAATGCCTCTCAAATCTGTGAAGCCACGCGATACTCCAAAACCGGCTGATCCTACTTCTCAGCCACAACACGTCATCGATTCTAGTGCATCGCACAGTTTCCCAACTCTAATGCGTCGCAACTTCTCTCCTCGCTTTCGCCTCTGAGCACCTCAAATAATTCTCGTACCGAATCGATTGTTCAGTTGTTCAAAAAAAAACACTTAGATCTATTCCCTGAGGTGCGAACTCGGAGGTTTGGCGAGACTGCGATCGGGGCGGATTGTAGGTTTGAAAGCATTGTTATCGCAGGCCTCCCTGAGCTTAGGGGGATG